TAACTAACTAACTAACTAACATGTGGAACAACCGGATGGATGCTGGGCACTCAAAAGGAGGTATACAAAAATAGTATAGTTTGTATATTTCTCACATAATCTACCAAAAGAAATTGTCAGAAAGCAATCATTAGCTTATGTTTAAGGACTGGCTGTTTTATCAGGATTTGTGGAGGGAGTACTGAGAGAACACCACAACAGGTCCACACATATATACACCGGTAAGTTTCAGCACCTAAAATGTAGTATATTCAGCTTTTCCTATGTGATAGTAAAGTGAATATCTGGGTTTAGAACATTTGGTCAAACTGTTGGTGAAGTGAGGGTGACTTTCGGACATTTTGATCTCTTAACAAGAGATTGTGGGCCGATCCATGCTGCCATGGTTTAAAACAAGTACTGATTGGAGATGATCTGTTTGGTAGAAATGTATCCTTGCTACTGGTCCTGTAGCACATGGACAGGAAGTCTACCACTTTACACACTTTACCAGTGAGGTTAGAGGGAGGCTGCAGGTGACAGAACAGGATAATCACATTATATCAGGGTGTCATTGTGACGCAAATCAGAAAAGGATTAACCCAAACAGATGTACATTGTTTATGAGGACTAAACTCAGAGTTACTCATAGTCTTCTCTGGGTGTGTCACCATCAGCAGTCACATATATCTAACTGTCCTCCTCTCACAATGTTGGGAACAACTTTCACTGTGTCTGTAGAGGTGTTTGAGGCTGGGGAGGCTTGTAAGGACAGGTTTAACTAAGTCAGTGTGAGATCAAGGCAACGCAAAATGGTCCTGCATCATTTAGGTTTATTTTGCAATAATGACCTGTTTGCTGTACATTATCACCTCACCTAACCATGTTTGCTGCTGAATAAACTAGCACTAATGAGGAAAGTAGCCTACATCTCAAATATTGCAGTGAAAGACAAAATGTAATGTTCAGTTAAGGTTTCACCCTGTAACAGTAATTAAAAAATAACATGAAGTCTTGTCCGGAAGGAAACACTGCAACAGCTTGTTAGGCTACTAAACATCTAGTTGCTAAACATCCGCATATTAGCTAATAGCTTTTTCCTATTTTAGAGAGTATTAAACAAATAACTATGATCTCTCAAGTAAAATGCATCCAGGCACCTGCTGAATGAGATTGACCCAGGGGATTGGGAACTACTAAATGTAGAGAATTGTATAAAAAGTGTCTGTTCAAAATGAATCCAAATCTATTCAATTAAATTTTATTTGTACAGCTCCAATTTATAACAAAAGGAAAAACTGCCTTTTAAGAGGCAGAAACCTCGGACAGACCCCGGCTCTAGGTGGGGGGCCGTCTGCCTTGACCAGTTGGGNNAGGCAGAAACCTAGGACAGATCCTTTGGCTCTAGGTGGGTGGTCGTCTGTCTCGACCAGTTGGGGTGAAAGAGAGAGAAAGAGAGGGAGAGATAAAGAAGGATACAGAAGGACAGAAACAGAGACAAAGGTGCACAGCAAAAACAGTACAACAAGCAACAACTACACTAATAGTAGTGACTAATGGTAATGATGATGAATCACTTGTTTTACACAAGTTACTGAGTTCACTGTTTGAGTTGTACAGTTTTGAATATAATATGAAATATCTATAAAAATATGTCACTTAGTCAGGGGTCTCTGACAATAATGCTGTATATGGGCCAGATTCGGGCCATGGAACCGTGCATATACTGGGCCAGAAGAATCACAAACATGTGGCCAAAGTATGGGCCAGATTTTTTTTTTTCTATTTGTGTAGCTCGGTCCCTGGCAGACATATTGAACACTGGTATAACTCATTATTATGGCTACTTTTCGACCAGGTGTGGCAGCCCTTCCTTACTATGCACCATGACATACATGACACATGACTGACTGGAATTTACTGGAACACAATGATGGTAATATTACTTATAGGCTTATACTACAGCGATAGGTCAAATTAAATGTGTAAGTGTATATATCTTTAATATTCGCCTTTTTTATTTATTTTTAAATTACATTAATGACACAGTTTGTCGGTATGGATGAAAGGTTGAATGTAGTGGTAGTATCTACATATACACCCACACCCACAGAGACTGCTGTGTCCTTATCCTGAGGGTGTGTGATGTGGATCACACCTCTTTCAAAAACCTCCTCCTCGGCTCCATAAGCTCACAGTCTGTAAGGAATTCTCCAACAGTCCATCGGGAATCTAAGAGTTTACTGGATACACATACCAGGACCTTTCTCCAGCTATGAGTCGGGTTTCCCCACCCGTGTTTGTGTTGCTGCTGTTTGCAGTGAGTACAAGGAGTTTCGTCTCTTTTTTAACTTATTATTATTTGTTATTTTCTGCTGTTACAGACTGGAATTTTTACCTGTCATGTTCATTTTTCAATACTACCTGATTGTCTATTCCGTTTCTGTGGAGGTCTGAACTAAAACATTTAAATGTCTGTTTCTTTTATTTGTTAATGGTTGTAATAGACATTAGCTGTAAGGGTAATTCAGTTCTGGCACAACTAAAGTAAGCAGCTTGTTTTCTTACAGCATTTTCAGACATTCTGAATAAACTCACTAATTCATAATACGTCAGCTTTTAAATCAACCAGTCCAAGTCATATTGTCCTGATGAAACACTGAATTTGGGTGTCTACTCCCACAGATCCTAGGCAAATTATCTTCTCTATGTTGGCCATAACAAATACCTGGTTGCCCTGGCAACACTGATCCAATCATAAAGTCGGATGTTGATCAGTCTAGAAAAACTGAACCCTTACAGCTCTACAGTGAATCTTATTTTTAACTGATGATTTCACTTTAACAGCTCTTATCAAATCAGTGATTATATGGTCAGTGTGTGTATGGATGATAAAAATGTTAAACATCGAGGTACCTCAACATCACGATGTCTCAAAAACTTTAGACCTCGGAGCGGCTTGTGCATTTAAAAAAACAAAGTGGGAGTAGTGTTAGTGCATGAAGTCACTGAAATTTACATTTTAATATTAAGCTACTTGACTCCAGAAAATAACTGAAAGGTCACAGTTTGTTTTGTGCTGAAACTATCTTTAAGCATAATAAGCCGACTCTGTGGGTCGTTCGTTGAGCTTTTGTTGTGTATTATTTTGGTGGTTCTTTTCAAATATATTTTAGTGGATTGTATTGTATGCATTGCATATTACAGTTTGTTACAAAACTCCAATGTAATTACTGACTAAGACTTTTTGGTTTTAGCTGAATTTTGTGGGTAAACAGGCGATTTCAACCAAAACAGCCAGAACAGCATTTTCATTGCGTTACAAGCCAGCCGTAATTAGACTGACTGACCACAGAAATGTTCCTTATTTTACTGTCTTGTTGTGTTGCTTACATAATTCGAGACCTATTTCAGATTGAACAGTTATGGGTTTATGGGTTGGCGTCGATGTTTAGCACTCTTTAGCGTGCAAGAATTGGGATTGCAGACTCAAAATAAAGTGAAATAGAGAGAAGGATAGCAATGACCTCAGAGATATTTCTCAGATGAAGACAAATAGTTCCTATCATTAGTGTCATTCAGTCAGTTTTAGGTTCTCAGCGTTTCTTTTATACATGTGATGTCCCTCCCTGAAAAGTCTGACTTCTTCTTTCTCACTAAAACATGTGATGCCACTTCCTTCTCATTTTCTCATCACACGCACGCAGTTATCCTGACATGCCCATGCTTTGACTGAAAGGCTAAGCTGAATTTCAAAGGAGTGGTGCATAGGGTCTGTCAGCCTGTCCTTTGAACACAAGCAGGTACACGGTAGCTATCAATACCTTGAAGGACCAATGTTAAAAGACTAGTGTGCAGGATTTAGGTGAAGTTACAGATTGCAACCAACTGACTCCCGCACGCCGTCCAAGTGTGTCAGAGAAACTGCATTGGCCACGAAACGTATGAAAAAAGCCCTATCTAGAGAGGACCCGCTCCCTCTCTTGATAAAAATAGCCACTTTTATACTAAGGTAATGAAAACTACGATTCTTATTTCCAGGTGATTATACACTAATGAAAACATACCTTTTCATCATACCGATATAATGAGAATTGCAGTGGAAAAAAAACACCTTCTTGTCTGCCTCCTATTTATAAAAACTAGTTAAATTATGAGTTTCTGACAGCTATCATATTCCCAACTTGAATGGCAAAATTGTTAACAACCTGAGGCCAAAATACTGCTCCATCACTGTTGCCAGTTCAGTGAAAGTACAATTTAATCGGATGAAAACGTGGTACAGCTCAATAAGCTGCATAGCCCCTTTTTCATGTCGAGACTCGCTCAATAGATGCTCATAAAACGGCCAACCCTGCTTCTTTTCTAGTTGTTTCAACTTCCAGAAAATGAGATGAAAGTTAGAATATTCAATTCCTCCTTTTGCTGGGGACCTCCTACAACCCACCCAAGGACTAGTGTTGGTTCTCAGACAGTTTAAAGACAATGGTTCAACCTGTAAAATAACTGCTCTAAAACTGCTTTGTAAAAGCAGCTAATCAAGGCTCATTCTATTTGACACTTATTCTGCTCTCTAGCAGACTTCACTATTGGTTAAACACATCTTCCATTTCCATGTTTGGTAAAAGGGGTGTTCAACATGAGTGCTATTGTTGACTAGCCATAATTGTTGGCTCTTGCAACTCTTCTCACCATTTTGCACGCAATTCCTCTGGTATTTTTTCCCCATACAGCAACGAACACAAGAACAGACAACAGTCAGCTCTTACTGAATGATAGGTCAGCCGCACCCTCTTTCTCAGACTGGCAGGTCGGATTTCAGTTTAACTAAACCTTGCAGGAGGACGTAATGAGATCTGCAGCAGGAAGTGAATGCATCTCTTTATTTACGTGGATGTTATGCAAAAGTTCAGACCTCTCCTCAGGGCTGTCTGGGCATGTACAAACTGTGCTCGACTATTCCATGTTTGTTTTGTTCTTGTTAGAACGAGACACCTTACAGATTTCATTCTTTTAGTGACCACAGCTCTTTTTCCACATAGCTCCACCATCTTCAAACTGCTTAGAGCTTGTATCAGCCAGAATAACAGGATGAGTTTAAGACGCGGACACAACTGAGACTATTTTCTTGATGCAAAATTGATGCCTATAATAAGAGGACTACAAGACTTGGTTGCCTGTATTTGCTGATTATTTATTAGCAAACAGTAAATTATGCTGTCTAACTAGACATAATATCCGCCAATTGCACGGTTATAGTTACCTGACAAGACTTTACAAGTTAGCTGGCGCCACAATCCTTAGCTCTCTAAGACAACAACACTCATAACAACAACAACTCTCTGACAATCACTTCGGATGTTATACTGTGGACGCAGTATGCATGCAAAACTCATCTTTGTCATTGCCAAGCTGGCATTTCATTCACTAATGCTAATATAAACTGTTGTGAAAAAATATAGGATAAGAAGTATACATTTTTAGCTGTTTTCAGTTCTGTGGTTTTATTTTTGATATGTTGTATCAATGGTCTGTTGTGAACAGCTATTTTCTCTTCCCTCGTGTTAGCACAGAAATAGAAGACTAAAAATACAACATAGCCAGATCAGGTTTGGTGGCTGACCTGAAAAATACCATTTCCTTACAATGTAATCTGTAGCAGTGATTTAGTCTGATAAAGTCTAGACTACTGAGTCTACAAGTCCTGCTCCTTTTTGCACTGTGTACCAATCACAGTTGAGCAAGCCTCCTTTCCTGTACTTAGTTATGCTATGGGCTAGGCTAATCTATGTTGAAAAGACAACCACATTTTGGTTAAATGGTTGAAAGATTAAAGCAACATATAGTCACAAGTTAGCTAGCTAATGTTTGGAAAAGTCTAGCTAAGTGTCTAGCTAATCTACCTTAATCGTTAGCTAGCTAGTTAGCACATTTACATCAATTGTTAGTTAGCTAGTTAACGCACGCACTCATTCAGGAAGGCTGTCTACAGCCATAGAAAGTTTTAGTCATTGTTTCCAAGCTTTCTCCCAAGGCACACATTTGGTATTTATTTATCATATAATTTTATCCCATGCTGGGATATCTGGTATGACAACCTTAAGTGATATGCAGCTGACTTTACATGTGTGGACCATAGATGAATCTGTCAAGTAAAGGTTCACTGTGAAGTAATTACATCTGTTGTATTACATCTCCAGGCTGTTGCTGTTGTGAAGGCCATTTGGATTCCCCCGAGGAAACCACTGGAGGAAAATAAAGACTACTCTAAAGTCGAATCTGTTGCCAGGGTGAGTTATTGGTCATTAATGCTACCCGTTAACTCTGAATAAAGTTCCAGAATAAAAAGTTACCTTTTCGCTGATAACCTGTAAAAGGAAAAGTAGTACGATGTTAACTTCTAGCATACAGAGGGGATATGTGGCTGAAGAAGCCCTTAAAGTTCCCCAATCATTGCTCCAATGTCACTGAATTCACATTTCTTGATTTTAAAACTGATAGGATATGCAACTCTAACACTACATTTGTGGTATATCATCCAGAAACATCTCCCGTAGCTAAGTTGTATTTAAGGTTCACCCTATTTACATTTCCATTGCATTAGAAGCTTATGGGATGGTAATGATTATTCCGGTTATTAGTCAAACCCTTGGTTGTTACCAGGGAAATGGAGTTATGGCTTGTAAAAACTTTAATTCTTTATTATATCATATTTGTTTTTCTTTGGCAATTGACCATGGTATTATTTCATATCAACTTTAGCAATAGTTCAGCATACCATCCCTCTGTACACAGTATGCTTACCCTTAGCAGGGAAAGTCCTGCACACACATTTCAAATGACATATCCACAAAAATCAGTTTCACAATGCTTCAGTAGTGTGTTACTAACTTTGGAGTCTGCTGTAACAAATAAAAAACAAAACCAGAGGGCGACCACTGGAACATTGTCAGCATCCTCAAGAAAGGGTGGAGGCCTCTAAAGTATCCAGGCAGGTAGTAGAGATGGTAAAATGTTTGAGGGACATACATTGATTAGCGTTCAACACAAAATGATGAAGAGTTTTTGGTTTCTGGTGAAATGTTCAAACTTTGTAGCTAGCTAGTTTGTTTTTCCAGGTGCAAATGTTTTTTGTTGGTTCCTTCTGAAATGAATTAGAGTGTGTTTAGCTGAATCAGCTCTTCTCTGTGTTTCAGATTCGTTCAGATTTTGATAATGGCAATGGGAATATTATCTACTCTCTAGAAGGCCATGGTGCAAACCAGGCCCCCTTCCATGTGTTTGTTGTTGACCCTATAACTGGATTTATTCGGGTGACCAGAACTCTTGACAGAGAGTTCATCTCTATGTACAATGTAAGTGATACATGACAAATTCAGTTCTATTCCACTGTACTTTTTGACTCTGATGTCACTTTTCCTTTGCTGAGATTGCTACTTTTCATATCTAATATTGAGATTGAAGAAAGATGATGAAGACATCAACATTTGAGTTTTCTGTTTCAGCTGTCAGGTGTTGCTATGTACAAAGATGGAACAAGGGCAGAGGATGACGTTAGCATACCATTCAAGGTTGTAGATGTTAACGACAACTCTCCAGTGTTTGGAATCATAGAGCCCGGGGAGGTGAATGAGCTCAGTGCCGTAGGTTAGTGTTTCTGCTTTTGTGTTCTCACGTCATGTCTGTCCTGTTATGTGATGGGAAAGCAAACCTTAAATCAAACAAAACCTTTTCATCTGTTATGTTTACATTCAGTGTCAAAAGCAATTAAAGTATTCTGAAATCTAAAGCTGATTTTTAAAGTGTTTTAAATCTTGCATCCATATTTACTTGCCAGCAGTCTTCTTCTCTCAAACTTTGTGGGTGCACTGCTGTGTTTTTGGGCCTATCACTGCCACCTGTCCATCATGGAAATACTATGCAACCACTGGCCACTATTTTATAAGAAAAGAAATGCACTCCGCACATTTGCCAGGCCTCAAGGATGACTGTTTAATTTAAGGCTATTATTCACAGGGACTACAGTTATGAAAATAACTGCAACTGATGCTGATGAACCAGACAATGAGAACTCTCAGATCGCTTATTCCATCATAAATCAGAGTCCAAGTCATGGCATGTTTGGAATAACAAAGGATGGGTACATCTACGTCATAAATTCTGCCCTGGACAGAGAGGTATGGACTGCACCAATACATCCTCATGGCTTATACCAAATCTAGATAACTTTTATTGAAAACATACAATGGATCAAAGGTTCCGGGGCTGGGTCTGTGGTGCTACTCGTTTCTTTTCCATTGTCACACAGTTTATCAGTATTTTTCATATGTCTTTGTTTATATTCTGCAACGGATGTGACTTGAAGTGTAATGTAGTGCAATACTTGTTATAAAAAGCACCTAAAAAGCTTGTATTTTCCACCCCTGCCATGTTCTACTTTCAGGCAGCAGATCAGTACACCCTGACGGTGAGAGGTCAAGACTTAAATGGTAAGCCAGAGGGAAACACTGGAACCGGCACTGTTATCATCAATGTCCGAGATGTGAATGACCACCTTCCCACTCTGGAAAAAGATAGGGTAATTTTCCATGAGGGTTTACAGAGCTACATGATTTCAATGTGTTCTTTCGAGGATAAAAGAATATATGCTGACATGTTCATGTCAAACATCCCACAAAGTCAAAGAAATGCTAATACA